TTGTACCAATATTTCTACAAAATTAATACATTACAAGCTAGCAGACAGGAAGTTTTTACGCATCTGGTTTATATTGCAGCACCGTATTACAATGTGCATGCCAAATTTATAATAAATAAATAATATTTTTAGAAGTTTTAGAAGTGTTACTTGCAAAATTTTGTTAATACTAATCAATGTTATTACAAGTTTCTTGTTTTAAAACCGTGTAATCCCATTAAATAGTAATACTTTTGGAGCAAATATGTGACCCAGATTTATAAAACGACTTGTGGGGATTAATATTGAAATATATAATGCACCAAATTTATAATACAGTATGAAAATGTGGCTGAATATATACAGGAAAAACAATTTTAATGTATGGCTTTTTACAGTCTGGTGTAAAGTTAGCCTATGAATTTGGTTATTTTGTAATGGCTGGATTATGCCTATGTCTGCATGCTTTTAAACGTTCGCTGATCAATTTGGTATTGCAATTTAAAAGAAAACTTTGATTTTTTTGTTGTACACTATTTTTTGTTTAGTATTTTGAAATATTTATATAGTTGAACTTGCCTATGTCGTATCCAAAATGCCATTGAGAAATTGTTTGACTTTAACGAAATGACTTGCACTTACAGTAATGGAAAACAACAATTCGGCATGTAAAAATTAGATTGACTTAGAAATTATAGCAAAGTCGTCTTAGGCAAGTTTAACTGATTTATTTATCATGTTTGATTGCCTTGTATACAGTACAATTATAATAGATAAAATTAATTTAACATGGAAATAGTAATTCATACTTAAACAATACATTAAATTTAAATATAAATAATATATATAAGATGGTTAACGAATAAATAACAATAATAGTACATAGTATCATCACTATTACACTAATGATATTTTTCAATCTTATAATCAATTTTATATAGCCGGAGTTAGTATTGACCTAGGCTACTAAGGCTAACGACAGCTACGCTTTCTTCAATATAAAGGCTTTTTCTATGAATGGAATGACCTGTATGAAACACAAAGTCCTGTAGACCAAACCCAGTATCATTACGATTTTAATCGTGCGGGAAATATCCTCAAGATACATTACGTTTTTGTAAACAATGTTGGGCACTAATCGATTTCGAATTATGAAAAGTGTAGGCTGTGGCACCGAGACCTCTGACAATTAGTGCCCAAAATTGTTTACAAAAACTTAATGCAATAATAGCATATTGACTACTATTGTATATTTTCGGAAAATATTTCAGCCGCTCCAAATCTCTTTCCTATTCTTCCTTCTTCCTTTATTCTTTCACAATTTTGCATTTTATTCATATTTTTCATAATTTTATACACTCAAATATATAGTCACTTGTTTAGGCCTAGTCTAGGCTAGACCTCGGCTATGCCTAATACTGTATTATTTAAATATACAATTTTAATAGATAAGATTAATTTAACATGGACATAGTAATTCACATTTAAAAAATACATTAAATTTAAATGTAAGATGGTGAGCCGTACTAGTCTTAACAGTACTTAACAGAAAATAATTAAGCAACTTGACTGTGTTAACTTGGGTTTAAACAAAGACTATGGCTTTCTTGCCCACTACAGGGAATGATTTCATTGTTATGTTAATACCTCCATTGTTTGTATTACTTGCCTTTTGTTTTAGACCTTTTATATTCGATTGCATGTTGCTCCTCTTATCATTCACCTGAAGAAGTGTACTGTGTACACGAAAGCTTGTGACAATACATATTTCAACTAGTCTATAAAGTGCTACCATTTTCTTATTGTTTGATTAAATGTAAATATAATAACTTTAACGAATAAATAACAATAATTACAACGCGTACATAGTATCATTACTACAATAATAAGATTAATATTTTTCAATCTTATAATCAATTTTATATAGCCCGAGTTAGTTTTGACCCAGGCTACTATGGCTAACGACAGATATGCTTTCTCCAATATAAAGGCTTTTTCTATGAATGGAATGACCTGTACGAAACACGAACTCCTGTAAACCAAACCCAGAACCGTTACGATTTTAATCGTGCGGGAAATATCCTCAAGATGCAGTACAGATGGCAGAAACCTTTTTGGTCAAGTGTTTTATACCATCTACAGACCTTGAGACATTTGATGATCTGCGCCTTGCTGTATTTGATAGCAATACCCTCAAGATGGACTTTGGGAGAACAGCTTGTACCTCAACTAATGCAAAAAAACATATCTATAGAAGCTGCTACCAACAGCAGCTGTGGGTTCAAGCCCCATTTAGAGATGCCACATCAATTATAAATTCTGAGAATTTTGGTTTTGTAAGGAGTGGCAGTTTATTAGTCCCTGATATTGTGATCTCGAAACCTGATGGCCTGCCAGATCCCTGCACGTGTGGCAAATGTGCTCGCAAGAATTCGTGTCCCTGTGGAAGAGCTGGAATAAAGTGTTGCAAGTACTGTAAATGCAAGGGTGGCGATTGGTGGTCAGTGTATTTGTCCGAAGGTCCTTTGTTCCGAAGGACCTTTGGTCTGAAGGTCCATTGGTCCGTAGGTCCGTTGGTCCAAAGTAATTAATTTAAATATAGACAAAATATATATGAAGAAAACACATGTTCGGGACCACCACGTACTGTAGGTCTATATTGGCTAACAATATACAATTATTGCTAGCATGACTTGTCAGCTCAGTTTATGTATATTTTCAAAAAAATTATTAGAAATTGAAAAGATTCCAAGCGATTGAAGCGTAAGTATAACTTACCTAATGTTGAAGACAGAAAAGATTTTAATAACAATAGGGGAATTCAAGTAACTTCCATTCAGTGTTTGGAAAATCTTAACAGCTTTATTTACTTATGGCCGATGGGAGTTAACTACTTTCTCACTTTTACAAAAAGTGAGCGTGGTCGGGTGTCAATTAAAATGGTTCGAAAGTGGTCCATGGGGCGGATCCCCGGAAAATGTGACAACTTAGGGGTTTCAGAGGGTTATTCAATCGATTCTAAATAGATAGTCTACTAATATGTAGAAAATACTTATATAATTTTTCTCCCCGACGAATTGTGTTTTTTCTACTCTTCTGGGGGGGGGGGGCAACAAATTCTAGATGTGTATAAGAGACAGGCCATATATGTTCTTGTGAAATGAAAGGGGGGGCAACAAATTTTCTAATGGGAATTTTTCCCTACCCGTGTCCCCCTGTAGTGCCGCCACTGCACATTAAAAGCAAAAGATGCACTAGACATGAATCGTATCATAGTAGATTGAGTTTTAATTCATAATACTACTGGTAATAGTTCAACTGAAATTCTCACTGGGAACCTCTCCCTATCTACGACAGAGAGAGGAATTTTACTGATGTGAGTTACCCAGATTTTCGTACATTTCGCAAAGTAAAGGAAATATATATATATTTTTTTTAATGGTGAGGCGGCGAAAATGGATGCAGGAGTTAACAAGAAACTAGTATTTTTTTTTTTCTGGAAAAAAGGTTAAAAACTCGGACCAACGGGCCTTCGGACCAATGGACCTTCGGACCAAAGACCCTTCGGACCAATCGGCCTTTGGACCAAAGGTACGCACCCGGTGATTATTGTAAAAACCCATTCACTGAGTAAATGAATTTGAGACCACAACCAAGTATTTACAGTCAGTAGACATGGGAATAGGGAAAACTTGTAAATAGGTTCAAAGGTCAAATATGGCATTTCCGGTCATTTTTTAAGCAAATCTCACATTAGAACAAATAGAAATATGTATGATGGTCCGAACAATTTTAAAAAGAAAGCAACTCGCTACGACCAGCGGTTCTCAGCACATGGAACCCTATTTTTTCACTCCTAATTTGCATATTTAAGCTAATTTGCATATTAACGGAAAATGTGACTGAGACGTAATTTTAGGAATTTAATCCTCTTGTCATGTGTGATCATTTAGAACAAAAACCCCTTCATTTGCTATTTTCTTATACCGTCTAGCTCAATTTCAAAATACCCTTCCCTATAAAAAGGGGGCGTGGTCATTTAATTAAGGGCGTGGTCATTTTCGGGCTGTTCGTCCCGGATAGAGATTTTGGCACACATCCCATGTTATTCCTAGGGTTCATATTAGTCTATAACAGTTGAGAAATTCTCTCCTAAATGAAGTGCATACAAATCTTTGTCAGGTCTTCTACTATTATAAATAGCGAACCTCTTTTTTTATTATTATTATTATGAATAGCGAACCTCTTTTTAAAAAAAATTATGAATAGCAAACCTCTTTTTTTTTTTAAATTATGAATAACGAACCTCTTCTTTTATTATGAATAGTGAACTTCTTTTTTTTTTAAATTATGAATAGCGAAACTTATGACAAACGGTCCTATTTTTCTATTATAAATAACGAACTCTTTTCTTGATTATGAGTAATGAACCCACTATTGTGACTAGCGAATATGTTATTCTATTATAATTAGCGAACCTTATAAATAATGAGCTTTATGAATAGTGGACTTTAAAAAAAAATTATGAATAATGAACCTAACTAACTAACTAGCGGACATTCTGAACAGTGGACCTTATAAATAGCGAGCCTTATGACTAGCAAGTGGACCCCCTTAGCTTTGTGCAAATCTAACCTTATTAAATCATGGCAAAATGCACACATTGTGCCCTCCAACATACGTTTTTCTTTTTCTTTTTGATGGTCTTGAACTATTTTTTTGTGGTTGTGCTAAGTCTAAGTTTACATTCAGTTTCGCCTACATAATTTCCGTTATTACATTTAGTTTAAAATAAGTGTGCTGCGCTTTCGTACGACGGTGACGACAAAATTCGGCAAAAGTGAGTTCGGCAAACCGGGACTTGGCAAACTGGGAATTCATGTTTTCGGCAAAAAACTGGATTCGGCAAAATGGCCATAAACTCGGCAAATCGGGTTTCGGTCGAACTGGATTTCGACCAACTGGTAGGATACCATTGTGCTATATGACATCGAACTAAACTAGATTACATTACATCGTTTTCATAACTGATTACCAATGACGTGTATGTGGAAATACTCAATCCTATTGTATGGATCCCAAGTATATCTCCTGTAGGTAATGTTTGGCATCAGTTCACGATCGATATCTTTGTAGTAAAAGTAGCCAGCTTCTGTGTGCTCCAAGCGTCCATACCACCTAAAAACAATCATGTTTCAAATAGATTATTGGTCAAAAGGCATGAAGCAACTCGCTCTACATCAGAAAAATACAGTTCATAAACATGCAGTTTATAGAGTGAAATGTATACAGCCTCTGATGCTGCATTGTGGTAGCTGTAAGATATAGATTGAGAGGGAGACCAAGGCTGTTCAACACGAGGTTTAATTAATATCGTCCAGGTTAAGATCCAGATAAAAGATCACTGTTGGCTTCTTGGTCAGGATTGTCGACAAACTATTCATATATATTATATGGAAACGGTTTAGCGCAGCGGGAACGGTTTGGCTTCCCAGCCTTGAGGTTGGAATTTTAATCTCTCGCTGTGCATTTCGCTTGTGTCCTTTTTATGGCAAGTCTAACAATACGTTTTATCATATTAGCATTAAGGACTAGAACTCACTTCCCTCTCGAATCAAACATTGTAATTATTTAAATCAATTTTAATCCAATGTCAAACCAAATTTATTTGAAAAAATTCCCTTGTAATACTACCACTATTTAATGGACCCCTCATCTTGCCAGATGCGATTTATAAAATAATCCTTCACAACTGAAATATATTTTTATTCTGGAATTGTATGATTATAATCACTTTTTGCCATTTAATTTATCTTTTTAATATAATATTTCTGAATGTTAATACAAAAATACAATAATATATTTTTAAATAACCATTAAAGTATTTTTGACATTGTAAATATAGTAATTTCAACAATAATTTTGTCTAAATAGTGTAGTTTGCTTATTAAAAAAATTTAATAACTGTATTTTTAACATTGTAAATAAAAGAACCACAATCCTATTTCTCTGAATTATATCTATTTTTTATACTACCATATAATTACTGAATTATATAATAAAGCGTTTTTGATAATTTTTTAATGAATTTAAATAATAAGTTTGTAAAATTGTCTATAATTTAAGTAATTAAATAAATAAGTAATTGTTTATAATTTAATTGAATGTCGCAATTTATTTAAATTGATTTGTTTTATTTTTGTTTTATAAAATAAAAAATAAATTTTTATAATCTGGTTTTTTAATTATATTTTTTAAATTGTACATTTCACTGTTATTCCTTAATATTTCTTTGATGTGCTGCATTCTTTCATTTGTTTGACTTTCTTTTGTAAAGGGGAATTTTAATGTAATTTACATTATTGGTGAGATTTGCTATTTTTAGTGGTAAGGGTTAGTGCATTTTTCAATGTTTTTTTTTTTTTCTGTCTTAATGACCCCAATGTAAATATGTTTACTTGTATAATTTCTCGGGTATATTCCTCAGTTCATTCAGTTGATATTGTTCTTTGTACTTACAATACGTTTTATTATATTAGCATTAAGGACTAGAACTCACATCCCTCTCGCATCAAACATTGTAATACTTTAAATCAATTTAAATCCAATGTCAAACCTTATTTATTTGAAAAATTTCCCTTGTAAAGCTACCACTATTTAATGGGCCCCTCATCTTGCAAGATGCGATTTATAAAATAATCCTGACTGGGTTCTGTTTCTGAGCAGTTTCTTACCAGTATGCTGACTGGGTTCCGTTTCTGAGCAGTTTCTTTCATTCTTTCTGGCAACATTTTAAAAGGCTACTAGTAGCAAACTACTGGACCGATTTAATTAAAACTTAGTCAGCAAGACCAGTGCCACCTCCCACTTCACAACTTGGGGTCAAAGGTCAAACAACCAAAAATCGTATAAGACTACTTCTCTCACCAATAACGTAGCACAGTCTTGTCCTTTGTACATCATTGGCATAAAGCAGAGTCTATAAGGTGTTCAGGGATAAGGGGTCAAAGGTCATTAAAGGGGATTTTTATCTTTTTTCAGGAAACATTTCAAAACGCTACTAGTGCCAAACGGTTGTGCCGATTTCAACCAATCCTAGTCAGTATAACCAGTGACACCTCTCATACATGGAGTGTGCACTGCTTGGGTCTTATGTCACAAATAACATACACAGTCTTGTCCTGGGCACATGTGTATTAGCATAAGGTAGGGTTTCTAAGGTGTTTAGCGATTTAGGGTCAACGGTCATTAAAGGGTTATTCTTTTGTTCTATCTGGTAACATTTCAAAATGCTACCAATGGCAAACGATTGAACATAGGGGTCATCGGGGTCAAATTTCAAAATAGCCCAATTAAGCTCGAATTTACTAGAAATGATCCTTAGAACATGAAAAAAAAATTCTTTGTCTATAGGTCAAAAGTCACAAGGGTCATTTTGGTGAAAATTATTAAATATTGCTAGTGACTAACGATTGGACCAATTAGATTGCATTAGACAGACTCCTACCAAATATGGGGTGTTCACAGCTTGAGGTCAAAGGTCAAAGTGGTCACCTTAGGGTCAAATCTTGAAAAATGACTGGGTTCATGTTTTATTGAACATAGTATCTCTAGTTTTTATCTGTTTCTGTGCTTTTGTAAAATTTTTGTTTTTATCTCTCTGAAGGAACTGAATAAATTGAAATGAAGACAATTATCTACGTTGCTTCTCTACACCTAGGTGTATAAATGGGTACCTGGTGGGGTTGCCTGCGCCAAGATGGCAGCAACACATAAGTATGTGGACCAAATGGCTGGGGAAAAACTTATACATCATATCATATCATACAGTATATCATTTATTTCAACAATTTCAAAAGAACGAACTTACAAATACAATAACACAAAATAACTCAGCAGTACCTGGTAGGATTGCTCAAAAGAGGCATACGCCCATCTGTTAGGGAGCTCTCCAGTACCAACCGAGAAACAGATGCAACATAAATATTAAAGTATTAAAATAATTATTTGCCGATAGCACTTAAAAATAGGTACCTAAAAGGTACATGTGGCTACTGAGGTCATAAAAAGAAATACTGGTGTGGCGCTTTTCATGCCCGTTCCCATGTTACATATCTCATATTCCAGTAGTACGTACAGTAGGCCTATCATAGTGAATAGTAAATTAACACTTTAATACAAAAAAAAGAAATACTTGTGTATTCATTGTGTTATTTATTCATCTTAACACTGTATACATTGTATTTAAAACCCAAATTCTTTAGTTACACAACAGGTAATGATATACTATATACTAAATGCTTTTTTGAGCATTTAGGGTAATTAAAAACTATTATAATCTGAATCCACGATTTTGTAACAATATAGCAATAAAGGCTTTTATCTTAATTATAAGTCGGTTTATTACAGAAAACATATTTTTAAAATATTTTTATCACTTGCAAATTGACACTTTATTGAACATTTCAAACATTTTTGCCTGCAGTCTGGATGTTTAACTTTGTAAAAGAAATTTTCCCAAATAGTTGTCTGTACTGAACACGATGGATCAATCAGCATACATTCTGTAATATTTTTAGCCCATTTCTTGTGTTGAACCTTTTGGTTCCTGAAAGCTGTATAACCTTAGCCTTTATGGTTACGAGTTGAGTGTTGTTTACATTCGAATGAAAAGAATGTTTTGGGTTGATAAATTCCTAAATTTGGAATGGTATCTCTTCCAACTGCTTTATTTTAATGTTGGAGTTTATAAGAATATTGGTCCCAAAATCAATCATCTTCAATGGACTTTGGTTTTCAATAGTTCTGGAATTCAGTGTGATATGAAGCAGAAAAAACAGTTTCTTGAAAATTGTCCGCAGTGGTTTGTAATTGTAATTTGAAGTACTGATTTGTGTTTGTTTTTAACTGGAGATACAATATGAATGTAAGCTTCCCATGTCTTCTTCTTTTTTGCCATATTTTTTCAGTTCATTAACCTGAAATGATAAAGTATAAAATGCAAAATAAATTATTCATGGT